GCCACCACACAGATGTGATCCTGTGTCTGAACACATTATCCTGGACAAAAGAAAGAAGTCACATTTACCCTTTTTTTAAACAGCACTGCACAGAGGTGCACAGTTCTTTGAACAGATCACTCTTAATATGTTTCGCCCCAGCATCACGTCTGCTCTGTCCTGCCCACAGATCCGCAATGAGCTGGAGAAGCAAATGAACTGCAACCTGAAAGAATTCAAGGAGTTCATCGATAACGAGATGTTGCTCATCTTGGGCCAGATGGACAAGCCCTCCCTTATCTTCGACCATCTTTATCTTGTAAGAGTCCCTGCCTCTGGTGGATCTGGTTTGGAAACCACGCCCACAGATACATGCTTAGGAAGCCCCAGAGCTGTGACTTAGCATCTATCTGAAATACAAGTGGCTGAGCTGTTCCCCTCTGAGCCCTGTTCCCAGAGCCCACCGAAGGATCCACCCCGTGGTGTCACCCGCCCTGCCTGTGCACCTCCAGCCCAGTGTCTTCCTGCCATAAATCTATAGAAGGCAGCTGACCAGTTGTCACAGGCAAGCAGGTTGTTAAAGTCAGCCAGGGGATCATGAAGTCCAGCTGACAGTCAGACCTAGCAAGGCCAAGGTCCCCTCCACCTCACCTGCCCTGCGGCCCGTGGTGAGTCATCTTGCCACTGTCCTTCATGGGGTTATTGTGATGGTTCAATAAGACACATTCTGGAGGTGATGAGTGCAGTTTCTGTAGACCTGGTTTTGTAATCAATGGAATGGAAACTACGGTTAGAGGAATGTCTCTTACAGGAGCTGAAGGAAGTGGCTTCGGCCACTGAGGAGCACAACTTCAGTCTCCATAAATACATAAACACGCACACACATATGTGGGCTTCTAGTGGGAACACAGGGCTTTTGAGACAGGAGCTAGCTCCATACGTAGCTCACGCTAGCCCAGACTTTGTGATCTTCTGCTTCAGCCTCCTGAGCGTTGAATGCATCTTTATGTTCTTGTTTATATGTGAGTCTTCCTACATGATTAGATTTCATGCTTTATCCATGAGATGTCAGTGCATGTGTTTGAGTAACTTTGAAAGACAGGTGTGCTGGCAGGCCTACCTGAGAGCAATGGGAAGGCCCTCCCTCTGCTCTCTCCACTAGGTGGTGAGCATGGCCAGAAGGCTCCAAGCTGTCATGGGGCTTCTTGGTGCCTTGTGTCATTCTTTCCATGAGAGATTTTTATGGTTGAGACTGACCCTCAGATACGAAAATCCAGCTTACATTGCAGGATGCCAGCCAACATCGTCAAAGGACCTGGGAAGCTCAGGAGAGAAAGTCGGCAGGAGATAGAGATAGCAGAACATGCTTGCCAGGACTGTAGACTGCATTTCCAGAGCAGCGATTGCTTCTTCATGTTTTTCTTCTGTGTTCTTGAAAGATCGGGAATAGAGGAGTTTTTAATGATACAGTTTGTAAAAGTATAAAAGTATCCAGTCATGCATTCTATAGACAGTTGAGAAGAGTAAGGCTATTCCCAATCTCCCACACTGAGGTAGTCACGCATAGCATTTTGATGTGTTGATTTTTCCATTTTTTAGTTTCTTGTTGTATTAGAATTAGAACCCAAGCCCCGAACACTGGGTTTCTCTGATGCCTGTGTAGAAATAGAGACGGTGCCCTCTCTGCTCGGGTTCATAGGTCGTGTTCCTCTTGGCTTATTCCATCTTTCCTCACACTAACATGGTGATTTATTTATTTCCGGGTTGGATTTTGGCTTTTGAAACAGGGTTTCTCTATGTAGCCCCAGCTATCCTGGAACTCACTGTGTAGACCAGGCTGACCTGGTCCCGAACCTACAGATCCACCTGCCTCTGCCTCACAAGTGCTAGGATTAAAGGCCTTCACTACCCCCACCCCGGCTTGTTTTGTTTTGAGAAAAGGTCTCACTGTATATCCCTGTTTGGCCTTCAGTTTCAAATTCATGGCAATCCTCCTGCCTCTGCTACTTGGCACTGGCATGGTTTCTTGTGAGGTGCCCATCCTGAGGATCTGTTGCCGTTCATCTTACTGCTTCCATCCTAGTAGACCTTTGGGTCCCTCAGGATCAGAGGGTGGGAATTTTAGAATTAATACCAAAATACCTGCCAGGAAAGGGAGTAGCCCCTCCACCCCATAGCTGATGGTGAGGTTTCACGTCACTGCCTGTGGTGGCTGTACCCATGCTGGCTAAGAAGATATGGGGATGTCAAGCAGGTTTCCATGAAATAGGGGGAAGAAGACCACCTTTCTCTTAGACTCCTGCCTCTCCTGATTCTTTCTGGTCCTTCTTTCTGCTCTGAGGCTGAGTCTCCACTGTCAGGGCCCCTGTGCATCCCACAAGCAGCTCTGTGACACTCACAGGGGTTTGTGTGGTCTGTCCCCCAGGGCTCCGAGTGGAATGCATCCAATCTGGAAGAACTGCAGGGCTCAGGGTGAGTCTGCTCCCCTCTCCCCCATCTCTCTAGGCAGTGTAGGCATTGCTACTCTGTGGAGGTTAAGACACTGCTGGCCCACTCTGACTGCCTCAGCCTGGTCTCTGCAGTGGCTGGAGCATCTCATGTGCTTCAGATTGCTACCCAGAGGGATTTTTCCTGGGGTGTGGGGAGATCCAAGAACAGCTTGATCACACTGTGGAATGGAGGCCAGCCTGGCCCTGGACAGGCTCCGAGCTCGCTCCCACAGCCACAGCCTCACTCCCCAGCAGAATTGCTTAGAACCCGAGTGTGGACACATATCTCTGTTGATCTTTTGGTCCATCAGCAACTCTGAAAACTGAACCGCTCCGGGCAATACTTGGTGCCTGGTGGAATCTTGTGACTGATACTCCCCGCTGTCTCTGAGAAATGCTCAGCAGCAGGAGTGACAGCTACAAAATCACCATTCTGTGGTTGGCCTGATGTGCCTGCTGGCCTTCTGGAACTTACTGCAGCTGAAAACCGAGACTAAACAGAGCTTAAAATACATCTTTAGGACTTCCGGTCAGCAGAGTGGTCGTCATTGAGAGGCTAGACTTTATGCTTCCATCTTACCGGGAGTAAATACGTGATTCATTGTCATTTATGGTGAAACCTATTTGAGACATTTCCAATTACCAAAATTGTTTTGGTTTTCTAGAAATGAATGTATTGGTTACGGGTGAGGGGCCGTGGGGTTTGAGTTAGCGGGTGTCTCATCTAGAGCATGAGTAATAGAAGGACAGAGTCTGCCTTTTAGAGAAGAGAGAAGAGGCTTCTTTTCTGTATGGCATTTTTAAAAAGTAATACATTCTTGTCACGTGGAGGAAACACATGAAAATGACTGTTAAGCAAAACCAGTTTCATTAGGAACATACGCCCTGTAGTGTGTGTATAGAAATTGACTTTCTCTGCCAGTTTTTTGTGAATTTGTTTTCCTTGCTCCTCATTCAGATTCTGTAGGCTATTTGCTTCTTTTCTCTGCAGGGTTGACTACATTTTAAATGTCACTAGAGAAATAGACAATTTTTTCCCTGGCTTATTTGCATACCATAACATCCGAGTCTACGATGAGGAGACCACAGACCTCCTCGCCCACTGGAACGAAGCCTATCATTTTATAAACAAAGCGAAGTGAGTGTTTGGGAAATTGTCTGAGAAGGGACAGGTGGGCAGAAACGAGAAGCAGGCTAGATGACGTGGAAGTAGGCAGCCCTGCTCTTGGGGTAGGTGGTCATGGATACAGATGCCCAGTGCCGGGAGAGGCTTTGCTGTCTGGTCGGCCTTTGGTTTTAGCAACAGAACACCAGGCACCAAAGTGAACAGGCAAGTACTGGCCTCGTCCACAGTGTGCCTTCGTATTCTCTCCCACCTGCCCGTGGTTGTGACATCGAACCCAGTTTTCATCAGCTCTGATTCCAGGCCAGCGTCCAATACCAAGTGCCACTAGGTAGCTCTCTGGGGCATCCTGGAAAGGCCTTGCACATGCTGGGCCTAGAACTCTTGGACAGCTCCCCAAAGAATACAGGGGGAGTTCCATGTTCCTGTGTGCCTAGATGGGCAGTCCCAAGATGAGGCCCTCTCCACACTTCCTGAGCCCCAGCCCCCTTCTTATTCTCCTTTGGAGCAACTGTTACATTGAAGTCCAAAGCAAAGGTGTCACCCTGCCGCTCCCGCCCTGTGCTGTGGAGAAGAACCCTCTTCTGTTGGAGTCTCCCAGTCAAAGCTACAAGGTGTCCTTACCAAATGCCACTTCTCTTGCTTTCCCAGGGCACAGACTCCAGACTCCTTGCTTGTGAATGTAGAAGGCAGGGAGGAACAGTGTTGTGGGGATGGGATTGAAACCCTAATGTCGGAAACGAGCCTGCTTCTCCACCTCAGCCTCCCAGGTGCAGCCTCTGCCAGCCTGTCGTGTCTTCACCCTCTCCATCAGGGAGAGGGTCATTGTCCCTGTGTATCTGGTAAATCAGCTGTGCCCAGGCCAGCACTGGCTTCTTACAAGTAGCCGGATCGATTGGCTCCATCCTCCCCAGCTCAGTGGTTCTCTGGCCAGGTTGCTGTCATCCTTGTGCTCCCTCCAGGTGCTCACTCTTTCCCCAGGGTGCAGCATTTTTGCCTCGCTGACCCTGTTTTCTACAGTAGCTCATTCAGGGCCTCCATCTGCTGTAGCAGCTGGACTGTCCGGGTGCGGTCCTGGAAGCAACTGTAGGTGGCCTCACTTGTCCCAGCAACGGGGGAGACCGTTTGGAAGCAGGCCCTGCAAAGTTGGGCCAGGCCATGCGGATTCATCTGTTCTCCCATTGTGTGCTAATTGATTTCACAGCAAAGTTATTTCCTTTAGAGGGTGTGTGAGATCTGTTCCATAAACATTAGGGCAGAGAAGGTTGGAACTATGCGGTAACTTTAAAAATGAAATTAGTTAGTAAAACCCGAGTGGTAAGTCAGGGGCTGCTCTTAATCCTTGCTCTTAACCCCCACCCCAAATCCCTGCAGAAGAAATCATTCCAAGTGCCTGGTCCATTGCAAAATGGGCGTCAGCCGATCTGCATCCACGGTCATAGCCTATGCGATGAAGGAATTTGGCTGGCCCCTGGAGAAAGCGTACAACTATGTGAAGCAGAAGCGAAGCATCGCGCGGCCCAACGCAGGCTTTATGAGGCAGCTGTCTGAGTATGAAGGCATCCTGGATGCAAGGTGAGTATGCTCCTAGAGGCAGACTGGCATACCAAGCTGGCCAGGCCAGTCTGGGCATTCCGCTCTTCTCCTGTCAGCCTGGCAGAAGCTTCCACAACTGGAAACCAGCCTCTCGGGAGCTGGCGTGGAGAAAGAGCAGCTATTGTTGGGGTTGTGATTAGTGGTTTCCAGGAGGGATCCGTTTTGATTTTGTTGGCACTTGTAGAAACTCTCTTGCTGAGCAAGGGAAGGTGCCTACATGCCCATCCAGGGCATGTCCTGGTGTGTGGTGTGATCCTGAGCACATTCTTTTCCTCAGCACCTTCTTTACGCCAAACTCAGGGACTGAAGAGGCCTGGTTCACCGCAGGCGAGCCTGGCAACCTTCCCCAAGCCCAGTCCCCTCTTCTGGGTTAAGGATTTAACATCCAGGTATCAGATGCTCATGGTCCCTCAGAAACCTAAAAGGAGGACCGTTGCATGATCCAAAAACTCCGCTCCACCGTATATACCCAGGAGCCTGGAAATCTGAGGACTCAGAGAGTTGTGTTGATGGCAGTGTAATTCATAGTAGCCCAGGGAAGGCCGCCCACGAGTCCCTTGGTGGATGGGTGGATAAACAAGCAGGGAGTGTGTATAGGAATCTTCCTCTGCCTACCAAAGAAAGGCAGTTAGAGTCAGATGAAAAAGCTCCTGATCGTAGGCCACACTGCTTGGGGAACTAAAGCTAGAAGACTGTCTGCCCCAGAACTTCAAAGCTAATAATCTCTGCCAAATATCAAGATTCCATCTCCTTCCTGCCCCATCAAAAAGGAAGAAAAGGGAAATTCTGACATATGTGGTACACCCTGAACAAATTTCGGGGCCATCAGGAAAAACTGTGGCCCCATGCTTGTATGAGGTCCCTAGAGATGGAGAATGTGGTGTTGGTGACCAAAGGCTGGAGAGGGGACAGTTCAAGTGTGGTGGCCGGTATTGTGTGCTGTGCACAGTTACGGAGACGGATCGTAGTGTGCTGTTGTGAGTGTGTAAAAGTCAAGATGGACAGCTTAGTGCAGTTTTCAAAGTGGCAGGGCTCTGAGATTGCACGAGCAGTCAGTCCAGGTCCTTGACAAGCTGGTAAGTTAATAAATGTCACTACTGAATCTGTCTCCCACCTCTAAGTAAGTTTTGGCTTCTCATTTCACAAGTGAGCAGAAGGGGCCAGCACTGAAAGGGCAATTTGTCTCCTGTCATAGTTGGCTTCCGGGTGCTGAGAGAGATTTACACCCACATGTGTTGACTGCCACAGGAGAGAGCAGTTGTTGCTGGGGTCCCTGTCAGGGCGGTGAGGGTTCCCCAGCATCCCAGGCTGCTGGGGCAGATGCCAGGATCTGGGGACCAACTTTCTCCCTGCTCCATGTCCAGTCTGTTTAGAAGCTGCCACCTGGATCATTTCTGACTGGTATTGGGAATCCAGAGGCTGAGTCCTTCAGTTCCTAGGACAGGTTTAGGGAAGGACTGCTCCGGCAGGGATGAACAGGCTCGGAGAACCACCGCAGCCACCTCTGGATTGTTTGATGTCATTCGGAGACTCTGTTAGGTCCCTAGGCAATGGGAGGAGGAAGAGGGAGAAAAGCTACTGCTCTCCCTCAGGTCACCTGACGCCTTCCCAGCCACAGCCTCGCCGAGGGTCTAACGTGGTTTCACGGCGTGGCGCCCGCGGAGAAAGGGACAGTGACCGAAGAACAGCTTCTCCAGTGGGCGTTGCTGCTCACCCTCGCACCCCCACAGTGCGGATCTTATTCCCAAGTTCTTGGGAGGTGGAGGTGACCTTAGCTGACCGCCTCTGTCGCTGTAAAGTTTTTTTCTCTCTTTTATTCTTGGCTCATACCACCAAGCGTGTTATAAAAACAGTGCCAGCCCCTGCCCCTAACTTAGCAACTGTTGACAGTTAATTGCTTCTGGGGCAGGTGCCTGGGTCACCCATGTTCTCGTGGATGCCCTACACCCATGAGTAATGGCAACACAAACTGGGCTCAGAAGCCTATTTTAAAAAAGAAGACATACCAGGCCTGGTAGTGGTGGTGCACGCCTTAAATCCCAGCGCTTGGGAGGCAGAGGCAGGTGGATCTCTGAGTTCAGTGTTTACAGCCTGGTTTACAAAGTGAGTTCTAGGACAGCCAGGGCTACACAGAGAAACTCCATCTCAAAAAAAAAAAAAAAAAGACACAATCTGGGGGCAGTGGAAGGTGGGGTGAATATGATCAAATATATGGTATGAAATTCTCAAGATTCTGTAAAAAATAACTGTCTTTTTAATGCCATAGGCTAGGTATGTAACCCAATGATAGAGTGCTTACATATCTGCCCATCTCCATATGAAAAGTAATAATAGAAACATCAGAAGAATTCTTTCAAGCCAGGATATAGTTCCAGCAATTAGAAGGAAGAGGTAGAACTTAGGTAGCTTTGGCTACATCATCAGTTTGGAGCTAGCCTGAGCTACACAGATCTTGATTCTTAAAAAAAAAAAAAAAAGAAGAAAAAAAGAGGAAATCATTAAAAATGGACCTCTAGTTTCTGCCTGAAACAAATACTTAGAAGTTTTCTGAAATCTTCCCCAGTACGGTAGTGTTGGCCTCGACACACTGGTGTGCAGAGAACGTGACACTCGCTCTGCTGTGACCCCTGAGTTTTCTCACTGTCATGGGTCACAGAAACTGGGTGAGAACCATCAGTGACTTGACCAGATTCACACGGTAAGACAGACACAGACATGAAGACAAAAGGACCTCCAGGCAAAACTCCCACCGCATCTGCCACCATTGTCCCCACACGGTAAAGGGAAAGCCAAAAGGCTTCTCTCTCATGTCGGCCGTGGTCATCCCTGTGTGCCCTGGAGAATGGACGAAGGGGGGCTCTGCCCACTGCACCCGTCTGAGGCAGGCTGTCCGCTGCTTGTTCTCCCGGCCTTCCTGCTAGGGCTGGTGTTGTCCCCTCAGCTCACCGCCTGCTCTTTCTCCTGTAGTAAGCAACGGCACAACAAGCTGTGGCGCCAGCAGCCTGCCGATGGCCCCGCAGCAGAGCCCAGTGAGTTCTTGCCAGAGACCCTGGATGATGCCCTGGACACCCGGCTGCCATGCTTGGATGACACCACCCAGCCCGGGCTTGCAGGAAGCCAGGCCCCAGGAGGACCCTCTCTCCCTTGTTGTTTCCGAAGACTCTCAGATCCCCTCCTCCTCCCCCACCACGATGACGCAGGCAGCCTGGTCCACTTAGAGGATCTGGAGCGGGATGCTCTGCTGGAGGACGCCGCTCAGCCAGTGGAGGTGCACAAACTGGTCCAGCATTCCCAAGAAGGAGCCAGGCACTGTGAAAAGGATGTAAAGAGGAAACTAGAGTTCGGGAGCCCCAAAGCCCGCGGTGGCTCCTTGCCGCAGGCCGGCGAGGTGGAGAAGAAGTGTGACCAGAGAACGGGGAGGTGGAGGCGGGCCTCCACCCAGCTTGACCAGGAAAACCTAAACAATAACAACAGCAAGAGGAGCTGCCCGGATGACTTCGAGGTAGGCGGGGACTATTGTGGTAGCGGCATGCCATGCCACTTCTACCCCACCCCACAGAGCTCCTTCCTGACCCACCCTGCAGGGCTGCAGTTCTCACTTCATCCCACGGGGTTTATTTCAGGAGGATACTGTTACCACCTGTATAGCATGTGCCTCGCTAGTGGATAGGCCTTGTGTAAGGGATACGTAAGCCTTGTGATACCCCCCTCATCCATGGTGGGGCTTCCAACTCATTTCATCACCCCAGTTCACCCCTGCATCGATATGTGATGTTCCTGATTCATCTCTGACCTGCCACAGCCCCCCAACTCTCTCACCTTAGATGGCTTTGAAACAAGTCCCAGAGGTAGCATTCCCTTCCTGATGCTCCGTTATGTGACAGAAGAACAGTGCTGTCCATCTTGCATCTCACGTTAGTGCTTTGCTCCTTGTGTCCCTTATAGCTGCCATCCTTGGGGGATGATGTCCAGGGAGCCTTCACTCCAACACCCTGTATATCTTCCCTCTTCCAGCATCTAGCCATGACCTGGGGCGGGGGTGGTGGTGGTGGTGGTTTCTGTCTACCTCGCCAGTACTCACCAAAGACCTGGAACTTTCTGTCCCTTTGCCATGACTGCATTGAAGACTCTCGGGGAGACACTGAAGTAGAAAGTTAATTTGTAATTAACATTCAGCTCCAATGCTAAGCGAAAACAAAACAGAAAAACACCTAACCACACTGGGCGGTTCATCTGTTTGCCGGCCTCTAAGTAATGAAATATGTTCCAGACCAGAAAGGAACTACATGCCTCCCCCCACTGCCCACCACTTCCCTTAGAGAGGACAGATGATATAAAATGCCTTTGTCTGGGCCAGTGGTGCTGTGGTTAGCCCCAGCGGCCTGACTGTGAGTCACTGAATGGTGACCAGGAGGGCAGCTTGGGTAGGGTAAGGGCTCAGTGGACTCAGCACCAGGACCCAGCAGGACTGAACCTGGAGACAAGCAGCCATTTGAATGCCTGACTCCTTTTGTTAACTGGTGTGCCGGGCTGGCATGGGTTCCTGTTTTGTATGGGGTGAAGGGAAGGCACACTTGAGGGCACAACAGAACAGAGCTTGACTCAGAGGGGTGGTAGAGCATTCATGCCTGATGGAGGGCGACTTGCTGGGGACAGGCTGAGAAGCAGTGCTGTACTGAGAGGCGGGATCTGGGTAGAGAATTCGGTATGTGAGGGGCAGGAGCTGCATGAGCCTGTCGTGGTGCAGCAGCGGCGAAAGATGCCGACGGGAGTGGCTGAGGCCTCTCTGGCATGTTGGTGACACAGGGAAGCACAGGGGACTCCTTAAGTAGAGGCATAGGTGACAGCAGAGCCTGTGAGCCCGAGACTGGACTTGGCTACACAGAATGGTATTAACGTCTTGGAATCGTGGCAGAATTGAGACTCCTCCACAGCCGTCACCCGAAAGGCTCCTTTCTGCTAGCTATGGGCTCTCCCAGTCAGGCAGCTGGGAAAGCCACCCTTATGCTTCTCACCTTCATCATCATTGATTGGCCTTTGAGCTGGTACAGGGTTGTCCTGGCAGGGAGGGCAAAGAAAAGTCCTTGTCCCATTCACTGAGGCCCCAGTGACCAAAAGGCAAGTGATGTCCTTGGAAGATGGTGTAACATGTAGTTAGATGTGTTTGAGTTGGAGGAAGTCCAGATTATAATGACCATGACAGGTTGATGGTCCCCAAGTTATGCTTTGGGCTGACCAGGAAGGACTCTGTATTTAGGGTACAGTTACCCTGGGCGCAGTCACCTCTGCCAGAGAGAACCTCCTTTCTATGCTGCTTTGTTTTTGTTAATTTGCTTTCTAAATTCTAGTTGTTTGGCTTTTAAATTTTATTCTAAATTATGTGTTAGTGTGTGGGTTTATATGCATGCGTGCCAGCGTTTTGGGGAGCCAGAGGCATTGGCTACCCTGCAGCTGGAGTTACGCTGTGAGCTGTCTGACGTGGCTGCTGGGACTGAACTCAGGTCCTCTGAAAGAGCGTTAGCCAGCTCTCCAGCCCTGTCTCTCTCTTCTCCAGTGCCCCCTGCTTTCCAGACCAGACCATGGCCGGGGAAGGGTCAACCTGACTGATGGCAGAGACGGACTGAGAAGGGAGGTCCTAGGCTCTGTCCCTGCCACGTGACTTAAGGTTCACCCAGGTCATCATTTTGACTTGTGGAAAGTCAAGACCAACATCCCTTAGGCCTCTAGAACCTCTGTTCCTCATGATCGGTGTGTTCCAGACAGTCTTGAATCCTGAAATGCAATGATAGTGCAAATGAAAGCACTACCCCCATACACACACACACATACACACAGTGCCGGCCATCCCTGTGCATCCCTGCCACAGTGGCCCACTTTGTCCTTTTGGTCTCTGGCTCGGGATCACGCTTGCTCATGGTGCTTTTGTCACTTGCAGCACGATGCTGTGTTTGGAATCCTCAGTAAAGTGAAGCCTTCCTACACATCCTGTGCTGACTGCATGTACCCTGCTGGCGGGGCTCCTGAGGCCTCCACAGAACGACATGAAGACCCTAGTGCTCCCGCCATCTGCACCCAGCCAGCCTTCCTGCCCCATGGCACATCTTCCCCGATGGCCCACACAAGCTGCAGGTCCCAAGCTCCAGAGAGGCTGGCCTCTGGTCCAGCCAATGCTCCTCCGTTCTTACCACCAGCAGGCTCAAGGAAGCCAGACATCAGTGGCTCCGGAACTGGGGCTTTCCCAGAACCACCAGCAGGCCTTCTAGAGCCTTCCAGAGAAACCTCAAAAGTCCTTCCAAAGTCCCTCCTGTTGAAGAATTCTCACTGTGATAAGAACACCGCCAACATGGAAGCAATGAAGGAAGAATTGTCAACTAAGAAAGAAACGAAGCCAGCTAAGGACCTGAGGCTTCTGTTCAGTAATGAGGCAGAGAAGCCGACCACCAATAGCTACCTGATGCAGCATCAGGAGTCCATCATCCAGCTGCAGAAGGCGGGCTTGGTTCGAAAGCACACCAAAGAACTAGAGAGGTTGAAGAGCCTGCCTTCAGACTCACCGTCTACCTGCAGGGACAGTGCCACCAGCAGGCTGGAGGCTAGCATCCCTGAGGAGGGCCAGGAGCCTGGACACCTAGCCCTGTGCAGCCAAGCAGGGGCTGATGAGAAACCTCCAGAAGGAACCTTGGTGAAAAGCCCGACTCCTACCCTCCTCCGCCTAGATCACACCAGTAACTTCTCAAAAGACTTCCTGAAGACCGTGTGCTACACCCCCACCTCCTCCTCCATGAGTTCCAACCTGACCCGGAGCTCCAGCAGCGACAGCATCCACAGTATCCGAGGAAAGCCAGGCCTGGTGAAGCAGCGGGCGCAGGAGATCGAGACGCGACTCCGGCTGGCGGGTCTCACTGTGTCGTCCCCACTGAAACGTTCCCACTCCCTCGCCAAGCTGGGAAGTCTCAACTTCTCCACAGAGGACCTGTCCAGCGAGGCTGACACATCCACCATCGCCGACTCGCAGGATGCCAAGTATGGTCACTCTTCCTTCTTGCACGAACCGCAGGCCACGCCGAGGGACCCCGCTGCAGCCTGTAAACCATCAGGGAAGTCTGTCCCAGGAAACTTGAAAAACCTGCCGGGGATGAATGAAAGCTGAGCACGTTCTGCATTCCACATTCTGACATGTGGTTGAGGTTCTCATGCTGTCCTGGTCACACGTCACACACATCTTGATTTGTGTTAGCTTCGGTCACCCAGGCTTTCCTCACTCTTGCCAAAGAGAAGAGGGGACAAACAAGTAACATAGCACACATGAAGGAGACCCAGAACGGGGCTTAGGCGACCTGGAAACTCTCAGTCAGGAGACAGCACTGATCCTCAAGCCCTGTCTATGGGAAGATGTGGACACACAGGCTGGGGCTGTGTCTTGTTGTTAGAGTCTTGCCCACCATGCACCATGCCCTAGGTTTCATCCCCAGCACCCCATAAAACCAGGCATGGTTGCACACTCCTATAATCCCATTCCTGGAGTTGGAGGCGGTTGGAAGTTTGAAGTCATTCTCAGCTGTATAGTGAATTTTAGACCAGCCTGGTGGAGAGAAGATAAGTCTGTACATGCAGAATATTTTAATGTGCAGCCTGTGAGAGAAGAGCCATGGTGATGTCGCTGCAGCCCATGTCCCCAGCTCGTCCCTGCCCTCACGGGAGAATTCTCAGATAACAACACAAGTTCTACCTCTGTTCTCACTGTGTTTTGTTCTTAAAATAGCAATGACCAAGGCTCGTTCTGAGAAACAGTGCTGTGTCTGAAAGGGTTTTTCCAAGAGAATCGTAGGTGGGGGTTGGAGGGTGAGGTCCCCCAAAAATGTCAAGACTTTGAACCTGACCATCCCAGGTACAGTTGTGTGACATCATCAGAGGAAAGCACCGAGTGGCTGTTGTCTGTGTGACCCTCCATCCTGGCACCTACGGTGGGGATGGGGGGTCCTCAGCTTCTAGCATCGAGCTTACATCACTCAGTCATGAGGAAGAACTCCAGGCATCACCGAGCCACGTCTGCTGCTAACAAGACATCGTTATGTTTGGGATTGGGACAAGCTCATATCCATGAGATTGTGGGTCTGGGGTGTGGGTCATCCTGCTGAGACACTCTGACCATCCCCCGCCCTCTCACACCAGGCTCATTAGGTGCCATCTCTACATCCGGTGAGAGGAAGGTCATGTCACTTGTGGGTCCTCTTCCTCCTGTCCATAAAATACTGCTCCCTCCTCTCCAGCTCTCCGATATGGGCCACAACACAGGTGTTAGCACAGGTTAGCTCAATGCAACAAGAGGCCAAGGCTCTAGGTTCAAATCAGGGACCTTAACTGATGCCCATAAAGAATACAGTGATGGCAGAATGACAGGAGAGAGGAAGGGCCTGGTCTGGTGATTGGCAGACCAGGATGTGCCGCCCTGTGAGATGAGCATGACTTCTGATTTATTTTGTTTCTGCTGTGGAAATGGTTTATTGGGGGTTTGGGTTTTTCGAGATTTTTTTTTTTTTCTGTGTAGCCCTCGGTGTCCTGGAACTCACTCTACAGACCAGGTTCACCTATAACTTACAGAGATCCACCCACCTCTGCCTCCCAGAGTACCCCTCCTAGGATTAAAGACGTGTGCCACCATCACCTGGCTTGCTTTTTTTTTTTTAATTTTTTAAAATTTCAGATAAGGTTTTACTATTTAGTTTTGGTTGTCATGGCTCTTTGGGACTTGCTGTGTAGACTGTAAGCCTCAAACTCAGCAAGGCTCTCCTGCCTTTGTACAAGCCAAACTGGCCTCAGCCTCCCAGCAGTCCTCCTGCCTCAGCCTCCCAAATGCCAAGATTACAGGTCTAATCCCATCCTGCCCTGGATGCCCCAGGTTTGGTTTTTACACTTGAAGTGTTTGTCAAGAGATAGATGAAGCTGGTGGCGGTGGCGTGGCCTTGTTATCTTGCATCAGGAGACTGAGACAGGTCCTTCACGAGTGGAAGGCCAACCTGGACCACAAAGTGGCCCTACCTCAAAAATAGTAACCCTGACAGGGATGATGTCACCTGACTCAGGCATCTCCTCAGGCCCTCCAGCTTGCCGACTGATCACGTGATGCCTCAGGACTACATGTGGTACTGCAGGGAGACATATTTGAAGGCTTCCTTTGCTTCTTGGATGACACAGACCAAATACTTCCTCCTCATGCCCCAAACTATGCCAGCCTTTCCCGTTACCACACCACTTGTGCAGACGGAGTCCCTGTGGTGGTGACCACAGCTCTGCCCTACAGTTGGCTGGTTCAGCCAGCTAAGCAAGACCACAAAGCCTTCCAGGACTGCCCGTGTCCTGAAAGTGAATGGATTGGAGTTAGTGCGGCTCCCAAAATGCCCGTCCTGGAGAATACCTAGCTCGTCTCCAGGAACAAGGCTAGTCCTCTCCTCATCAGTGCAGGGTCTTCGTGAACCTCTAGCTCAGAGATTCTCCCTGGCAGGATCTTAAAACAAACAAACAAACAAAAAATGTATGTTGTTTTATAGGTATTTGTTTTCCTACCAGTGTCAGTGGTAATCACCTTAAAAAGTGATTATCCACTACTTATTCCAGAGACCCTGTAGGCTTCTCCACACTTCTTTAGCCAACAAAAGCAAACTTTCAAAAGACCAACTTTAACAGATGTCACCAAGTTTAATTTCATGTGTGGTGGATCAATTTTTATGTCAGTGTAATTCCTTAGCTTTGGTAATGATAGGTTTCCACCGGATCTCTAATCTCGTCTGTAAGGGTGGCGGGGTTTTGAAAACCACAGTTTGTCCTGTTCTGTTCAAAGAGTAAGAACAGGAGGAAGGTCAACTCAAGTGGGCCTTTGACTTCAGGCAAATTGATGCCTCTTTTAGAAACACTGGCATATCATCCAGCAGGGTGCTGCCGCCCTGTGTCCCCCCCCCCCCCCAGTCGCCAGAATGAGACCCTGGCTTGATGGCTTTTGTTTTGGCCTAGAGGGTTTGAGCTATCTGTTGTCAAGGTGGATTGGTATTTAATCTAAAGGGTTCTGTGGAATTATCCTACCAAACCAGGCTCACGTCAGCAGTGACAACTGCACATTGTCTTACGAAAAGTTTGTTCCAGCCAGGCTTGGTGGCACACACCTTTAACCTCTGCAGGGGCAGGTGGATTACTGAGTCCGGGACTACATAGACCCTGACCAAAAAGGTTTGCTTTGTGAGCTACTCATCCATGCGTGGCTAATGCTTTGTATGTAATCTTAGCAAATTATGTACACACAGAAGAGGCACATGAGGCAAGCAGAGGGATTTATGCAGCGTAAGCCACTGATTTTAATGACTGCCATTTTCACTGAATTGAATTGTCTTCATTGAATGAAGAGCTTTCTCCCTAGCTTGATGCCCTAGGTTCTCAGCTGCCCTCCTTGTTTCTGCTCACCTGCATAGCCTCCCAACAGCTTGAACCTTGTGGTGGCCTCTCCTTACCTCAACCCAGAAGGCTTCTTGAAGTGTAAGGGAGATGGATACTAGGTAGAGGAGGTGGGCAGTCTAGGTGCCTGATTACATGAGCTAAGAGCAAGGTGTCCTCTGCATCCCCAGCCCTCTCGTCCTCGGTGCGGAGACCCCTGTCAATCACGGCGCATCCCTGTGGCTCAGCCATGCAGGTTACTCACAGGTACCCGGAGAGCTGCGCTGCCCTAGCCTGTTCTGCTCCTGTTCCACAGCTTGCTCTAGCAGAATATCCAACCCTGCTAATCTAAAGCCCTTCCCTCTGCCCCATAGAAGCCCAGAGGGTGCTGCAGGATGGAGCCAAGTTTGGCACATACAACCCCATCAGGGTAAACACATTACCTGTGGTTTGGCACAGAATCACCTGACCTGGTCCCCATCCCGAGTTCCTGCTGATGATAAAGACCAGGTGAAGGTCGTTGATGTTCCCCTATCCAAAGCCCCTTGTTTTGTTATTGTTGGGTGTGAGAGTCCACTCTGCATGCATGTATATACATAAGTTTCTGTGTGTATACTTTGTGTATTCGTTTTGTGTGTGTGTGCCCGATCAAACCCAGTGTGTGCCATTTCTCTCATCACATACTGTGTCTTCTAGCTATGCAGTAAGTCACCCTAGACTCATCTGCAGTGATGCCACCGGGGGCCATCTGGAGAAGGGTGACCACCTTGTCTTTCCCTTTTGCAGTAGACACCACCGTCCCTCCAGTCCCTGACTTGGGCAGGAGTCCTAACCGCGCAGCCTCTGCTGCCCTGGCTGTCGGCCTTGCTGCATGAGAAGATAGCTGCCTCCTCTACACTGTAGCTATTGTTTGACAATTGAGTGCCTTAATAACTGTTTACGAATACTGTGTATTAATGCGCAGCTCCTCAGCTCTCCTCTGTTGTGCTGGGTACTTTGTCTTGTCCTGGTGGTTGAGATTAGGACTTGAGTTTCTCTCCCCCCCTTATGTTTATTCTGCTATGCAGTTGACATTGTGGTTTGTGACTACAGAGCCTGCCAGAAATGGCACTGTTGAGTTCCTGCAGGCCAGGTTGGCATCAGCAAACACCACAGCCCATGGTAGCCAATGAAGGTGTGATTTGGTTTACCAGGCATCTGGGAGGTGGTGCAGGCCCTGCATCCCTGACCCACAGCCTGGTACCTCCCCCTAACCCCTCACAGTTGTAACCCCCTAGTCCCCTTCACACCCCTGTTCTCCTGTCCATATCCTCAGCTCCTTGCAGCAGATTGTGGGTGCAGCTCACCCCAGAGGAGCCACACCAGTCAGACTGCGTTCTTCACCGCAGAGGCTGCCGTCGGTCCCATGCGTCACATCACAACTTTGATTTTTCTATTGTTTTTATATTATATATTTAAGAGGCAGTATCTTTTGTACTGTGAATTTGCAGTAGAAGCATAGTGCACTTTTTTTTTTACTTTTGTTGGTGTGTACTGTATATATAGTCTGCGTGCTTCTTGTGATGAAAATAATAAATACTTCCTTTATAAATGTCATGCAAGTGTCCGTGTGTGCCAGAGGCCCCGCCGCTAGCCCTTGCCAAGACCTCCGTTGTGCTCTTCCCCGTCATCCTTGGCATTCTTTTATTTTTTAAAATTTATTGCACCTCCTAAGTCTCTTCTTGAAAGAGGAGCAGCGCTGGAGCCACCCCAGAGCTCTCCCTCCCAGTCCTGTCACCTGTGGCTGGGGTTGGACCAGTAGAATTCAAGCTAGACAGTGGTGACACACATCTTTAATCCTGGCACTTGGAAAGTAGAAGCAGGAGGATTTCTGAGTCCAAGGCCAGCCTGGTCTTTACAGTGACTCGCTGCAGAGTGACATCCTCTACCAAAAAAAAAAAAAAAGTTTTTTGAGATATTTGTGTTTTTGTTTTGTTCTTTCTTTTGTTTTTTGTTTGTTTTGTTTTGAGACACAGTTTCTCTGTGTAACTCTGGCTGTCCTAGAACTCACCTTGTACATCAAACTTGCTTCAAACTCTGAGATCTGCCTGCCTCTGCCTCCCAAATGCTGGAAAGATGTGCACCACCCACCTTTAATCCCAGCACTCAGCACTCGGGAGGCACAGACAGGTGGGTCTCCGTGAGTTCAAGCCCAGCCTGGTCTACAGAGCAAGTCCAGGACAGGCTCCAAAGCTACAGAGAAACTCTGTCTCGAAAAACAAAACAAAAATAAACAAACAAAAAAACAAGTGTGTCACCACCACCTGGCCAAACCAAATTTTTTTTAAAGATTTATTTATTTATTTTTATTATGTATACAACATCCTGCCTCCATGTATGCCCGTGCGCCAGAAGAGGGCACCAGATCTTATTTCAGGTGGTTGTGAGCCACCATGTGGTTGCTGGGAATTGAACTCAGGACCTCTGGAAGAGCAGCCTGTGCTCTTAACCACTGAGCCATCTCTCCAGCCCCGCCAAACCAAATTTTTATAAAGCATCTTGAGGGGGTTAAAAAAAAAAGTCCTTAGTTCATGGTTGCAAAGGTTTCTTTCCTGGGTTATGCAGGTCCCTTGCTTTGGGGACCCATGGCAAGGCAATATATCAGAAAGGAAAACTGCTTACTGGAACTCAGAAGAGGTGCAGGAAGGGACCAGAGTGGTCCCCAGCATCCAGCTGAAGGACACAACCTCAGTGATCCAGTGTTTTTCTAGACCTCACCTCAAGTTAATTCCATCAGCTGTGACACCCGTAACTGCATTGGCCTTTGGGACACGTTTAAGGTCCCAAACACAGCACCTGGAGACCAAGGAAATCAGGTTGCCATGTCTTAAAGTTGCCTGTCCTAGCTCTGCAGTGGGGAAGAGCCAAGGGGACTCCTGTTCCCCATATTGACTGCAACACTACTGGTGAGGGAGACTTTTGGTCCTGCTCTCCCAACCCAATGGCTAGGTGAGCCAGTCATAGAGAATTTGTCAGGTACATGGACGGGACAGTAAGTCCACTCTGCCCAGATGCTGAAGTACGTTCCAGTTCATCTCAATTTGCTGACACAGCCCAAGAGACTGAAGAGTAAACCGGAGTGTAAGTGTGTTAACTCACACAGTGAAACAGCCAGATTAACCGCGCCAGATAAACTCACGTGAGTCAAAATTGCCTGGGAATAATCTAATGTGAAATTAAAAGATTAGTCCAGCATGGTGGTACTTGCCTATAAATAACCCCAGGACCAGAAGTTGAATGTTATCCTTGGCTACTTAGCAAGTTTGAAGCCAGCTTGGGCTTCGTGAGTCCTTGTGTGACCAGCACTGGGGAGACTGAGGAAGGGGGAGCATTCTGAGATTCACGCCACCCTGAGCTACAATGTGAAAGTCTTCTCCAAAAGGTAAAGTTATGGCCAGGCATGGAACTCAGTGGCAGAGTGCTGACTTTCACATGTACAGGGCCCTAAATTTCATCCCCTGGGTGGAAAGAAGGTAGAGGGAGAGGCCAGAGGTACAAATCTAAGTCAAGTTGTAGAACACTGCCCACTGTAAAATGTGTTTGGTTGGTTTGTGTTAGATTTTTAAATTTTATCTTATGTGTGTGGGTGTTTGTGCACCACACTCATGCCTGGTGTTTAAGGAGATCAGAAGAGGACATTGTATCTCCTGGTACTGAAATTAATGAGCCACTTGTGGGTGCTGGAGTCTAACTAACCCCAGTTTTCTGCAAGAACAGCAAGTGCTCTTAACTGCTAAGCCATCCTCAGTTCCTGCTCAGAGGTCTTTTAAACGGATCTGTGGTCCAAGTGCTTCCCTGAAACTCAAAAGGAGCAAGTGGGGCCCACACCTCTCTGGGCTCCGCCCACAAGTCAGTCTAGGGCAGTGTTCTCAGTCCGTGGGTCTTGACTGACCCCTTTGGGGGTCTAAATGACCCTTTCACAGGGTCACTTATCATATATCCTGCATATCAGATATTTACATTACAATTAATAACAGTAGCTAAATTACAATTAAAGTAGCAACGAAAATAACTCCGTGGTTGGGGTCACCACACCATAAAGGGTCGCAGCGTTTGGAAGGATGAGAACCACTCACTGGTCTAGGGGCAGGTCCCAGCAATGTGTATGTTTACCATAACACTCCAGGAATTCTGATAGCCATATCTAGAAACCGCTGAAATAAGAATGTGATGTAGGCTTACATTTTGCTAGTTACAACCACATTTTATACATACTTTGAGACAACACCCTCCCACACACACCCAACAGCGTGGGTGTTCTTCAGACCCCAGATACCTGTGAGCTGCAGGCCCTCGGAGCATGGCCCTCAGCTAGCTGCCTTTACCTTGCTTTTATCCTCAGAGTAACCTTGCCAGGGTTGTGTTTAATCCCAGATCACACCTTCAGTGTGAGTGGTTTTGCTAGGGAGACACCGGTGTTTACTTAAGCCGAAGGATGCCCTTTTGTGGCAAGAGATTGGCGGACTCTCCAGAGGGCTTGGGATTTCAGAAGGGTTCACACCAGTCTAAAGATGCTGTGTTTTTCTGTTTTGAGTGTTCTGCCCATACACATGAGTGTGCATGCGTGTCTGTGCTTGGTGCCCAAGGAGGCCAGAAGCGGGTGTCGGATCTGCTGGAACTAGAGTTACAGATGGTTGTGAACCACTGTGCACATGCTGGGACTAGATAGAACTCAGGTCTGCTGGAAAAACAGCCAAGTGGTCTTCACTCTGCAGCCCCCGATGTCCCTTCAGGTGAGCAGGAAGGTGGACCTTCAGCCCTGTAGAAATCGGTACCATTTCATGCTCCATACTGCTGGGCTCCACAAGGTGACTTCCACATACTAGTCACCTTCAAACATGTAAGAGCCCAGCTTCAGCCTGAAATTCATTTTTTGGTAAACTGTTCCAGCAAATAAAATGTTTCATTTATTAGCTCCCAAACCAGAGGAGGGCGTACCCACATCTTACTAACACTGAAATGTTGGGATGTGGCTCAGGGGAGTCTACTTTCCTAGAATGTGCAAGGCTGAATTTCAATCCTTAACACCAGAAAGAAAAAGAAGAAAAGAGAAAGGAAAGAAAAAAGACAATAACTTGTATGTGGTGTTTCATATTTGTAACCCTAGTACTGAGGAGGTGGAGGCAGAGGATCAGAAATTCAAGGTCACCATTGGCTACAGAGTGAGCTCAAGGCTAGCCTGAGTTACAAGAGGTCATGTTTCCAGAGCATTCTTACCTTGTCCCGAAGGCCAAGAAGCCCCTCGCTCCACTCCCACCTTCTTGGAGATGACGGCCAGCCAGTGGCCAGTTCAGTCCTGAGAGCTATTGAGCGTGATGAGGAGATTCACGGTCAGGTGACAGGGCCTGACGACTGGGACTTCAGGGCAGGAGAGACCTGATGACCCAGAAGTGGTGGCGCACACCTTTTACTCCGGTTTGGGAGACCAGGAACCATAGCTCCAGGCTAGCCTGGGCTACATGAGACTCTGGTGGTGGACACCAGTACTCAGGAGACAGAAGCAAGTGGATGTCTGAGTTTGTGGCCAGCCAGGGCTATACAGTGAGTTCCAGGCCAAGATAAGACCATATAGACGCTGTTTCAAAAACAGAAGAAGAGAGAATCAGAGCCAGACTTCCTAGGCTTCTTGATAGTGGATATCAAAGTAGGACCAGAGATCAGCATAGGCGCATACACATGCAACCTGGCACTGGGGAGACTGACAGGAAGATCCCAAATTCAAAGCTAGCCTGGTCTACATACTAAGACCCTGTTTCAAAAGCAGAGCAGCTGTGTGCATAAATGCGGGGAAGACAGTGCTGCCAGTGGGACCAGCCGTGTTTACTGACACTACTGCTGATACAAGTAAAACATCTCCACGGGCACATGCTTCCTGCTGCATGGCTGCTGTCATAGGCACTAACAGGAGGAGGAGGGAAGGCACACAGTTGTTCCATAGGTACTCAAATCTGCAAAGGTTCAAGGGAATTTCAGGCCAGCCTGAGCTGCATAAGACCCTGTCTCAAAAACAAAACAAAAGCAATCAAACAACAACAAAAAAGGGAAAATAGAAATAACCTCATCGTGGAGTTCCAAAAAATTACTAGATAAGTCAAGAACAGTGGCACATTGCTGTAATCCAGTGATGGGGAGGGCTGAGGCAGGAGTTTGAAAACAGCCTGGGCCACATAAGGAGATTCTATTTTAAACAAAATGTATCACTAGCCTTGTATAGTGGCTCATTCCTTTAATCCTAGCACTAGGGAGGCAGGGAGATCTCTGTGAGTCCGGGGACAGCCTGGGCTACACAGAGAAAACCTGTCTCAAACTAAATAAAACAAAACAAAATATATGTGTAATGAGCACACAGTAAACCCTCTGGAACTATGGTCTTGTGTATTGTATAAAGTTGGTCCAGGTTGTGACATAAGTCATCCTTCAAGGACAGTAATGTCCACAAAGAAAATGGGTGGCCCGTTCACTGACCAGAACCTCTGCTTCCTGCCTCCTGCCTCATTGGTAGCTCTTTAAGGGCAAAGAGGCACAAATGCAGGATCACTGGAGAAACAACCTTTAGC